ATTCACTTGTGGAAAAGTGCAGGGTACAACTGTCCTGCTCTGTGTGGGCAAGGTCCTGGAACTTCTGCTTTGTTAATTCCCAAAAAGCCCTCCTGGCAGAGCTCTGCGTCAGAACCGAGGCTGGCATGTCCCTGGAGGCTGCCCTGGCGTGAATCCATGGGACCCTGAAAGAGCGTCTCGTTACCATTCTGCTGCGAGGCCAGATCTCGTCCAAGTCAGAAAAAGCATTGCCTGGTTTGCTAATGTTTTCAAATCTCTGGAGCTAGAGAGACCATCTTTAAGCTATTTAGCAATATGCTACATTCAGTAACAAAATGACTCTTCTAGAGTCATTTAGAGAAAGCTAAAGGAAGTGCAGTTTAGCAAGAAGTGTGAGAATTGAGTTTAGGACATGGCTGCTTTTTGTGTGAAACCATAACTTAACAAGAAAAGCACCAATGAGTTACAAGCGCTTCTGGCGTGCTGACAGGCACTTTCTTCCTGACCTGTTAGCTGTGCTGGGACCGGAGGAAAAGCCAGATGCCCAAACCTCAATTTCAGCCCTTAAGGGCCGTGAGCTGGCTGGATATATCTAATCACCTGGAATTGGTTTTGTTCTTCTTTTGTTTTTTTTAAAGAAAAAGTTTATTTGGAAAGTCACAGAGGTAGGGAAAGTGAACCAGTTGGGTATGGGCTTAGGAATCAAGTTACCGAAGCAAAAGTAGGGCCCTGGGAGCTTAGGAAGAGAAAGGAAAAGGTAACACCCTGTGGGGGGAGAAGGCGGGGAGGGAGAGCTGGCTTTCTTTTTTTTTTTTTTTTTAGCGCTGGTACATACTTAAACAAGCAAAGAAGTTTGCTGACATTCTTTAATTCTACAAAAGCCTTTAGAATATCAAACCTATAGTGTCAAGAAAAGGTGACATCTTGGGCAGTAATATTTAATCAACAGATTCTGCATTCTGAATGGGCTCCAGCCCAGCAGTTTCATGTTTCAGTGGGTATTAGTGATTTTGTCATAAACACCATAGAGCCCAAGATGGCCTAGCCAGGGGAGGAGTTTTTTAAAACAAATACTTATTGCCAAAGTACTAATTATAGAGTAAATATAATAGTTTTATTTTCAGATCAAGTGATAGTATCTATGAAGCTTAGTTATGACTATCCACTAGTTTTCAAATTTATCACTCCTCTCGGTAGTGTCTTAATTCGTGTGTGTGTGTGTGTGTGTGTGCGTGCACACGCATGCACTTTTTCACCCTGCACACATGACAAAAGTCCTTAATCTGGCCAGGTTCCCAAAACTGCAGAGGAGATCTGTGTTATTTTACAGTTCCTCTGGGTCAGCATTTTTAAGGACACATATCTCAGGGGTACTAAAATGCCAGCACCCATTCATTCTTTCTTTCAGCTCCCACACATTTGTTTTGACCTTGAGGGTAGCCCCCCGTTCCCCGGGGGCTGTCAGTAGCAGTGTCAGACCTCCGTGTGACTGGGTCAGGATGCACACAGAATAAGTTAGGTGCATCACAGAGGGAAGAAAGTGATACTTCTAGAAAAGGCTGTGAATTTGAAATCTGATTTGCAGCTCTGAATGCTGGGACTACACACTTTACAACCTGTCCATGTCCCTTATCATACGGGAAAAAAAACTAAGCATTGCTAAATAGGAGAGAAGAGCAACCTAGATTCCATTTTAATTTAAAATAATTGAGAGCGAGTCTAAAAGCAAGCTACATTGAAGTGAGTGGGGCAAGATAATAATTTCTTACATTGATTAATCTTTATAGTTTGCAAAGTGAATGCATGTCCTGTTTCATATTTGTAGACCAGACAGGTATTAGAATCACTTAATGGCTCTGAGACTGAGTTCAGAAGGGGCAAGTGACTCCTGAAAGAAAGGGCCAACATGAGAATGCAAATCTGTAATTAAAAACCAGTTTAAGGAACACTTACCGTGTACCCGGTGCTGGAGATCCAGAGATGAATAGGACCAGTTTCTTACCCTTGAGGATTAATCTCGACATACGTGTACTCAGAGGCTCATCACGAGAGACATTTGTCCTTTCCCAGTGACAGATCTCCTACAACGCTACCCCTTCACCCTCAGGGGCCCACTCATGATCTGGCTGAGGTAGTTTGACCTCAACCCCTTACTGCCAGGCCCTTCCCTGCTCCTATCTCTCAGTTGGTATTACTCTAGATTTAATCTTTATTTTGGAAATATATGCCTATTTATTGTATTTTATTTTCTGGTTCTAGAATTTTCATTAATTACTTTCTTGGTATTTTCTACTTTTTCATTTATTTCAATGAAATATTTTTCTTTACTTCGTTGAGCATCGTTGCAATACATCCTTTAAAATCTGCTGAAACCGGTTTGGCTCAGTGGATAGAGCGTCGGCCTGTGGACTGAAGGGTCCCAGGTTCGATTCCGGTCAGGGGCATGTGCCTGGGTTGCGGGCATATCCCCAGTGGGAGATGTGCAGGAGGCAGCTGATCGATGTTTCTCTCTCATCGATGTTTCTAACTCTCTATCTCCCTTCCTCTCTGTAAAAAATCAATAAAATATATTTTAAAAAAAATTAAAAAAAATAAAAAATAAATAAAATCCTTACCTGCCAATTTTAACATTTGGTTCATCTTGGGATTGGTTTGCATTAGTTATCTTTTTTCTTAAGACTGGGTCACACTCTCTGATTTTTTTTTTTTTTAATATCAAGTGATTCTGGATTGTGTGCTAGACATTGTCATACTTTAAAGACTCTGAATTTTGTTTTATTCTCACAAAGAATTTTGGTGTTTAACTTTTACAGACAATTAATATCTTTGGATTCAAACTGCAGATGCTTCCTCATGAACAAAAAGCTCTAATAGCACCTAAGTTGTCTTATCTTTCCAACACATGCATGGTTCATTCAAGAGTCATCCAAAGCCTGAGGCAGAAATTACATTGGAATTTAGGGCTGCCCCTCTCTGGGAATCTCATCTCACTTTTCAGTTCCCATGGTTGCCCTGAACTCTGTCCTTTGGTTCATTAGGGTAGAAAGACTGTGGGCTTCCTATCTGAGTCTTAGCCATCCTTTATGTCACTGACTTTGACCTTCTTTCAAGCTAAACACCAGTAAAAACAAGAAACCCAGTGGTGTCATCCTTTCAATATCATTCATTCCTCCCCTCCCAACACCACCCTGGGAATCTCAATGTCTTTAGGTCATTGATTTCAGGGAGGAAGGGGTTTGTAATTTTATTCTAAGGGATGGTTGAGCCTGGTAGGACCTCACAGAGCCATAGCAGAAGCAGAACTATCTTTTTCTTTTTTCTTTTTTTCAGAGAGGAAGGGAAAGAGAGAGAGAGAGAGCTAGAAACATCAATGATGAGTGAGAATCACTGATTGGCTGCCTCCTGCATGCCCCCTACTGGGGATCAAGCCCATAACCTGGTCTTGTAACCTGACTGGGAATTAAACTGTGACCTCCTGGTTCATAGGTCGACGCTCAACCACTGAGGCACACCGGCCGGGCCAGAACTATCTTTTATAGCATTATGCCTTTGTGTGAGTTTCTGTCTGCAGGAAGGTTCCACCCTGAAAAACAAAACCAAAAGTTTGAAAATCCACTATATTTATCCCATTTCAAGCCAGTTTTTAAATTTTCTAACATCAGTAATAGGTGACCTGCAAGGCCAGTCTTTGTTGTGAACACTGCCAATGTCGGAGACCCTGCCCTTTTCCCTCTAGGTGTCTCTCCCCACTCCTCAGCTTCCCAAGACCCACAAAGGCCCTCTGTCTGACTCTCCTTAATGGCAGAATTTTAGCAAAGCTTCTTGGAAGGAAAAGCTGGTTGAATGCCAGCAGCTAAGTGTTGCATTTCTTTGATGAACATTTAAAATGGATGATTTTGGTGGAAGAAAGTTATAAAAGGAGGAAGCCTACAACTGAGTCTTTATTTTGACTTCTGGCTGATACTCAAAGAGCCTGGCTGGCCTGGCATCTGCCACAATGCATGTAGCATTCTGGAACTAAGCCAGGGAAGGCCATCTGCCCGGACCATCTGCTACTCCACTGACCTCCTGAGGAAGGAGACGAGGAGATAACAGGGTTCCTTGTGGTTATGTTAGAAGATAACCCGAGTGACCGTGGTTGGGCCCAGATAGGATGAAAGATTTGGGGCGCTCTGTTGGGTAAACAAGCTAACGATAGTAGAGGAAAACTACAGTCACATGGATAACGGTCATGGCAATTGGAGCCCTTGGTCCTACGCTGAATTTGCCTGTCACTCCATAACCTTTAAGAAGTCTCCTTGCCCTTGCTGGTTTGGCTCAGTGGATAGAGCGTCGGCCTGCGGACTGAAGGGTCCCAGGTTTGATTCTGGTCAAGGGCATGTACCTTAGTTGTGGGCACATCCCCAGTGGGGGGGGGGGGGGGCGTGCAGGAGGCAGCTGATTGATGTTTCTAACTCTCTATCCCTCTCCCTTCCTCTCTGTAAACAAAATCAATAAAATATATTTTTTTTAAAAAAGAAGTCTCCTCAATGTTTGATGTAATTTCCCATTGAATGGGATAGGTTTCAAGGAGAAACTAAATGGAGAAAACGTAGACATGAAGGCATGTGGAGGTAGGAGAAGTCATATAGCCTGGAAATGATTCGTTTAGGTAGATGGTGGTTACTATAGTACAGAAATCACTTTTTCCCTTCATGTCAGGTTCTCAGGCCAGATCTTGAAAAGTGTATCATTCACCTCTGTTCCTCTGAGGAGCAGAGTTTTGAAAGTGTTCGCTTGTGTCAAAACATAATGTTTTTTGAGTTAGCTAATTCTCTGATAAAGTCTGCAATCCATCTGTGCATCACCTGTTGTTTCCCACCCACTCTCCTCATAAGAAAACAAAAGCAACAGTAAAATGCACTCTCTATTTGTCTCTTGAGCCTTTTTAATTCATTCTCTTTTAAATTTTATTTAAAAAAATATTTTTCAGATTTAAAAGCAACAAATGCTACTGTGGTTCCCCGGTCATTTTTTCTCAGGAATTCCGAGGATAAATTTGAGCCTTTCCCATTGGACGACGACGATGAGGACAAAAATGGAAGTGGGTTAACTGAAGACAGATTAAGCTCCATCAATCACAGCAGGCCTCTTCAAAAACCACCCCATGTGTTCATCTCAAAAGATGCCTCGGGATATCTGACCAGCGCCTGGTTGACTCTCTTTATCCCCTCCGTCTACACTGGCGTGTGTATAATCAGCCTTCCTCTAAACATCATGGCCATCGTTGTGTTCATCGTGAAAATGAAGATCAAGAAGCCTGCCGTGGTGTACATGCTGCACCTGGCCACGGCAGATGTGCTCTTCGTGTCTGTGCTCCCGTTTAAGATCAGCTATTACTTTTCCGGAAGTGATTGGAAATTTGGGTCTGAAATGTGTCGCTTCGTCACCGCAGCATTTTACTGTAACATGTATGCTTCCATCATGCTCATGACAGTCATCAGCATTGACCGGTTTCTGGCCGTGGTGTATCCCATGCAGTCCCTCTCCTGGCGTACCATGGGGAGGGCGTCCTTCACCTGTATGGTCATCTGGGCTATGGCCATCGCGGGGGTGGTGCCACTTCTCCTCAAGGAGCAAACCACCCAGGTGCCTGGGCTCAACATAACCACCTGCCATGACGTGCTCAACGAAACCCTGCTCACAGGCTTTTACGCGTATTACTTCTCGGCCTTCTCTGCTGTCTTCTTTTTTGTGCCGTTGATCATTTCCACGGTCTGTTATGTGTCTATCATCCAGTGTCTGAGCTCTTCCACAGTCGCCACCCAGAGCAAGAAGACCCGGGCTTTGTTCTTGTCCGCGGCTGTTTTCTGCATCTTCATCGTTTGCTTTGGACCCACAAACGTCCTCCTGATTCTGCATTACGCGTTCCTCTCTCAGAATCCCAGCACAGAGGCTGCCTACTTTGCCTACCTCCTCTGTGTCTGTGTCAGCAGCATAAGCTGTTGCATCGATCCCTTGATTTACTATTATGCTTCCTCTGAGTGCCAGAGGTACCTCTACAGTATCTTCTGCTGCAAAGAAAGTTCTGATCCCAGTAGCAGCAGTGGTCAGCTGATGGCAAGTAAAGTGGACACCTGCTCTACTAACCTGAATAACAGCATATACAAAAAGCTGCTAACTTAGGAAAGCGGCTGCTGGAAGGTTACACAGAAATATTTGAAAAAGCAAAGAACCTGAGGATTCTATTAGTCCCTGCCAAAAAATAGTATTTACTCTTTTAAACAATAAATGTGTGATTTGCATGCCTCCTTCTTAAGAGGGCCATTAAGGGTATATATTTATTAGTAACAGAAAAGGATAACATGAATAGAAAACAATGCTATTGCCAATGCTACAATAATAACTGAATATTACTTTTTGATATATTTAGGTGACTTACATATATGTGTGTGTATATATATATACTACACATGTTTGCAGTGCAGTATAGAACAGACACTTTGAAACCCTCTTTTTCTCCCCAAGAGATTATGAAAAAGAATTATGATTCTCTGATTTAATATGCAAGGTCTAGGTTGGCGGAGGTTAGCCCAGAGCATCTGAAGATGTCCATCTATAGGGAAGGATTCTGTAGTTTGGACTTACATGGCTTTTGCAAATAAGTTTATTTTGAACTTGGTCAACAGCTTTAAGTTATTAAGAGAGAACAGTGCTATCTATGTGTAGAAAAAATTCTGTTTTTCATTTTAAACATATCAAAGTTTGAATTCTTTAAATTATGGAAACATGATATGGGTAGCATTTTTTAAAAAAATATGTTTTTATTGATTTCAGAGAGGAAGGGAGAGGGAGATAGAAATATCAATGATGAGAGAGAATCATTGATTGGCTGCCTCCTGCACGTCCCCTACTGGGGATCAGCTGACACTCTATCCACTGAGCCAAACTGGCCAGGGCTGGGTAGCATTTTTGATGTTTTACACATTGTATAGTGACCTGAGGTTGGCCCCGGATAGCTCCAAGCAGTACATACTAGGCAGGGTCGCTCCAGACCCTGCAGCTGAGCCTCCCAGAGAGCAAGGGATCCAGGACCACCACATTCACTCTCCTGGGGTTCCCTTAGGGGTTGGCTATGAATGACCGAGTTCAGTAGAAATTGGCAGAATAAGATGTGCTATCCCAGGAGATAATGAATATGAAACACTTCTCTGCCCAATCCTTTTAAGAACAGAAAGAAGGCACGTTCACTTCCAGCAGTTACCCTGCAAGGTCCATTCTCAGATGGAGACACCCATGCAGCAAACATGACCACCCATTATGTGCTCCGGGCACTCTGATGGGCGCTGGGCAATAGAGGTGAATAACACTAGGTCTTCCCCTCCAGAACAAAGCAGACCAGACACAGAGTGTGATGTGTATATAATAAGTACGTCGTTATATAAAGAAGTGTTCTTAGCCAGATGTCATCCAGCCAGTTTCACACAGCCTGTCAGTTGAAAAACTTTGAACATTTGGATTACTTGTTCAAAGTTTTGGATTACTGGTACAAGTGGTCATAACTTGAGATTAAAACACAATACAATACAGGAAGTGTATTTTTGTAAATAAGTCCTTCAGTCTATATACATGGACACTGTTTATTTACAAATGTTTTTAATAAATTACCCAAACCAGGTTTTAAAAAAGAATTATGTCAGTCTGATTAAAAATAACTGAAGAAAATTAAATTGACTTTCAGTTCTAGCAAAATTATTCTATATTTTCCATTCACTTTTCTTAATCGTTAATGAGATTATTTTAAAAGCATTTTTTAGCCCCATATTGAGTGTCAAGTATAGAAAATCCTCATGGATTTGACAAAATAATTTGAAAATTAAGTTGAAATGTATCTTTTTTTCCATATGAAAAAAAAAATGTTGGCATCTTAAATCAAAAAAATGGAAATTTCCAAGGCAAATGCTTATTTAAAAGAACAAACTATTTCCAAATGCCATAGAATAATTTACATTAAAGTGTATTGTAAGTAGAAGCTAACATTGATTTTATTAATTTTGTTGCTATATTCATTTTATCTAACTCAGTGGAGATTTACTGTCATTGTTTATTCAGTCTGCATATACATATTAAAATTCCTCTGACTTAATATGACCATCACTACTTTATTATCAGTCTGTACTTGTAAAATATTATGTCACTGTTTTTATGTTCTCGCTTTTTAAAAAATGTGTGTAACCTGTATTAATAAACACAAAAGTTTGCTTGGTACCTGTTTGGAACAAATCTTTATTGGTATCTTTCAGGGCCCTGACAGGAAGGCCAGTGTAAAGGTTTGGCTGAAGAGCGTTTAACGAAGAGGTGATTTGCAGAGGTATGGACTGGGTGAAGTCACCCACGGGTTAGTGAAGCTCCTCGGGGACTAGCAGTTGGGGAAGCTGTTACCAGCCCAGGACCACGGGTGGAGGATGGATACCCTGGCCCCCATTCTCTGATTTTTCACTGGTGCCTCCCATTGCTCCTGATCTTAACCCAAACCCAGAGGTCAAGAGAACCTGGGTGACGTAGTCCATAGAGGACAATGGAGAAGGGATGGGGGTGGGGGAGCACAATTTCTACCGAAGGCATTGGGTGGTTCGCTTTCTGGGTCTTTTTTTTTAATCCCTTCTTAGGAAAATTCAAGGTTATATCATTGATAATATGTTCAGGTTCTTAGGTTACAGGGACAGAGGATAGAGTCTACAGTTCCTTCTTAGAGAGAAACAAATGTCAGAGCCAGGATGATATATTGAGACCCAAAAAAGGGATATCCTTGAGTCACGATCCTTTGCCATCAACACTCTCTGGGGTAGAGGGAAGGAGGGGAAACCTTAAGCAAAATGAGAGTTGAAAATCAATAAAACTTCTGATAATGTATTTCTAGATTCATAGTCAACAGGAAAATTATTTCAACTAAATAAGAGTTCTGGGAACACAGAAATTTTAAGTTAACACTCGTAGGTTTCTGGGGCCTGGGCCCCACACATACTTCAGGAGTAGATATATTGAAGGAAGTCGCCCAGCTTCACCGAAACAGAATCCCCACTCTAAGCAGAAAGGGACCTTTAAACTCTTCTATTGTTAGTTTTCAAAATATGTTTGAATTCAAAAAAACACACTTGGATTTTGTTAACACAAAAATGTTTTGTTTTTCCCACCAAGTCAAAAATACAACTTTTAAGGAAATGGAATATTTGGTTGTTGACTATATAAAGTGGAAAATTTTAGGTTATACTTCTGAATTTAAGAAATTAAGAAAAATGTTGGCATGTCCTTCAGGAAGTCTGAGTTCGGAAAACAAGTGGAAAAAGTTAAGCAGTGTGTGTGTGACCAAGCTTTTTAATTTTCTGAGGCCTGCACCCTACACTAGTAACTTATCTCCACCTAGATGTCAGAGTAAAAATGAAGGGGGAACACAGTCACCAACAGTAAGTTCCTGGCAGATTGGCATAGCTGTGAGGCTGTTCCTTTCAAAATTACGGGGCCTAGGGATCAACCTAATTGTGTTTTATGAAGGAGTTGCAATTAAGTAAGCTGCAGTCTGAGCTGCATGGAGCAGTGTTCCAATGCAATGGTTTTTGGAGTCCTGGAGACCCTTTCAGGACACATACAAGGTCAAAACTACATTAAAACACTGAGACATCTGTCCTTTCTCGGTCTGATTCTCTCACGAGTATACTGTTGAGTTTTCCAGAGGCTACAAGATACTTGATAGTGTGACAGATTGAATAATGAAGCAGATATGAAAATCTGACTGTCTCCTCTTCAGCAAGCCATTAAAGAGATTTGCAGAAATATAAAACAGAGCAACTCTTCTCATTAAGTTATTGCTTGGGGGAGAAAATGCTTTTGCAGAAAATATCTTTGTTAACATGTAATGGGTTTACTGTTATTTTTAAGTAAAAGAAATATTTTCCCAAGTTCTTTATTTTAATGTGGTAACTATTGGTAGATATAATCAGTGGTTTGCTGTTAAATCTGATCTCCAAAAAAAGCCCCTAATTTTTAGCATTTGCCAGTTTCCATGATGTATATATACTCTCTCTATTGCCAATTTTAAGCTTCCAGTGGTTTAACAGTTGGCCTGAAAATTCCTTTAATTCTCATGAGCTGGAACAGCCCCTCGATATAACCTACACAAATGAAAACGTTTGGGGGTTTTAAATAATTTTTAATATTAAGGTGATCTGAGCTAACAGTGTTTTAGAACCCTGCTCTTATGCAAAATTTCCCAGTGGCATCACTTTCAAGAAGACATGGAAACTGGTCACAATTATAGAGCACAGAAGGGGTGGCCAGTTGGCCCACTGCTGCAGGCCCCCACATTGGGTTCTGTCAGCCCCACAGCTGAGGGGTCAGTAACTTGCAGCAACAGAAACTGATTCAAGGCAATGGGGCCTGTGTGGCTGGTGTGGCCCAAGGTTGGAAAGCTGTGTGTGAGGCCTGGTCTCCATCCAGCTGCTGTGCACCACCATGGTGCCATCACTATAAGGTGAGCATCAGGCTCCACGCTTCTTGCCCTGAGGACTGTGGTGACTGCCCGCTGCTCTTCTGGAGACAGAGAAAGCCAGAGGTCAGAGTCAGCAACATCTTAGAATTCAGATAGCACAGTGCTTTTCTACCCAGCTCTCTGTGTGTTCATCACTTCAGGAAATGACTCATAAGCCCCAAGGAGATGAGCTTTGAAAGCTGCATTTATAGTAGCTGGAGACACTGGGTGGTGGCAGGGCCTGTTGGCCGTTTTGTCCCTCTTAATAACCACAAAATTGGGCACTTTAGTGTGCTGCTCTGTGACCCACCCAGAGGAATGAGAACATGACCAAAGGTGGGGTTACCAATACTAAGATGCATGTAAGGGCAGGTTCTCAATTGTCTTTGCGTTTTTTTGTTGTGTTTTTCTTATCCCGAGGTACCTAGCTGCTCTTGAAACTGACCAACGTGATGTCAAAAAAACCAAACTAACATTTTTTTAAAATAGATCCCTGTCCTCCAGGAGCTAACTGGTTTTTTTCATTTAATTATACAATAGTTAAGAAGCATGGAATTTGAAGACCTCTGATTTTAGAGTTTTATCAACTCTGCCTCGTTGGAAGTTTTAGAAGCTTTGTAAGTCACTGCTCATGCCTGGCTGCACGTAGAGCTTCTAAACAATTCCAGTGCCCAGTCCTTCTGACCAATAGGAATCGGAGTCTTTGGGGGCAGAGCCTGGGGGTGTTGTTTACAAGCTCCTCTGGCTATGTGTAAGCCAGAGTAGATACCTACCACTGCTTCAGGAGAGTGCTTCTCAAATGTAACATGCATTCGTATTATCTGGGGATCTTGTTCAACTGCAGACTAACGTAGCAGTGTCTGGGGTGGGGTCTGCATGTCTAACAAATTCCCAGACGATGTTGACATAGCGATTCCTTGGGTCACAATTTGGTGTAGCAGGGCCCTAAGATACAGCCTTGAGGCAAAATATAGCCCTCGCCAGGTTGGAGTTCTAAGCACTAAGAAAATTCATCTTTCCTATCTTTAAAGTCATCTTCTGAGACAATTTTTACAATTATGATAAAATTGGGGCAATTTTAATGTAGCAGTAATATTGGTGCTTATTCAAAGTTTGTTTTAGGTGATATATACTTTGCTCTATATTTTCTCCCCTCTTGGGTTCTTTTCTAGGGGGAAAGATAGCTTAAAAGGTTCTAATCTCATACATAAAACCATTGCCAAAGAGTCTGGGGGTTTACAGTGGCGACTCCACTCCAGTTTGTAGAGATAGTGCCTGGCAGATAGCAGCAGTGCCTGGTTACCAGAAAGCACACGTGGATATAGTCTCATCTCTGGGTTTAGCTGAAAAACCGTGACCTCAGAAACATGCTGGGGGTGGAAGTCCAGTCTGCCTGGTGCTGGAATGAGTGGCTTCTATTTTTAAGTTTTGTGTTTGACTTTTAAAAACTTCATTTGACATAGAGATACAGTCAGGTATTGCTAAACAACAAACCACACAAAGCCCAGAGGCATGTAATAATGAGCACTATTGCTTGTGCTCTGGGGTTCTGCTGGCGTATCTGGGAAACTCATCACTGATTTAGGAAGGCCTCAACTTGGCTGTGCTCTGTAGCTCTCTCATCTTCAAGCACGCCAACCCTGGTACATTCTCCGGGCAATGGCAGAGGAGCAAGAGGGGAGAGAAAACAAGCAGGACGTCCTGAGGTCTAGGATTAGAAGTGGCACATCCTCACTATAGTCACATTCCATTGGCCAAAGCAAGACCCAAGGCCATCCCAGATTCAAGGGGATGGAGAAGTAGACACTGCCTCTTTAGTGAAAGGAATTTTGAAGTCACATGGCAAAGGCGTGGCTACAGGGAATGAAGAAGAATTGAGGCCATCACTGAACTCTACTGAACATAATGTCTGAAAACGTTATAGTAATGATCCTTAAAGGAATGGCTCAGCATCCAAGCATTGCACTTGTTTAACACACAGCCGTGATTTCTGAAGCTCTTGCAGTTGTTTAGTTTTTAATATCAACGGAAGGATTTGAAGAACATCCCAAGGCCTGGGTCCTAGATCACGTCAGGCAGCGCATGCCTTAACACTGTCATATGTGTGAAAAGAGGGAAAGATGAGAGCTGACCCGAGGGCAATATTTGAGTAAACATGCTGATGCCTCCAGCCCTACCAAAGAAGAGGGGCATTTTAATTACAAATTTGCTCTTAGCCATGCCGGTGTGGCTTGGTTGGTTGGGCATCATACTGTACACCGAAACATTGCCAGTTTGATTTCTGGTCAGGACTCCTGTCCAGTTGCAGGCTCGATCCCCAGTAGGGGGCATGCAGGAGGCAGCTGATTGATGGTGCTCCTCTCTCATCATTGATGTTTCTATATCTCTCTCCTTCCCTTCCTCTCTCTCTGTTTAAAAGAAAAAAAATCAATTTAAAAAATCTTTTAAAAAATAGACTTACACCCTGTCTGGGTAGCTGTTAGTTAGAGCATCATCCCGTTATGCCAAGGTTGCAGGTTTGATCCCTGGTCAGGGTACATATAATAATCAGCCAGTGAATGTACAAATATGTGGAACAACAATTGATGTTTCTCTCTCATCCTCTCTCTACAATAAATACATTTTTTTTAACTTAAAAAAATATTTGCTCTTAAATATCTGATTTCCTCTGACAGGGTGCTGATGTACTTACAAGCCGCTTGGGGAAAGTAGTATGATCCAGCCCAGTTTTCACCCTTCTG